TAACGACAAAATTTGAGTAACTACTTGAATTTGCATAAATTTTGACAACACTTTATTGACAAAAAATATCTTTCCATAATTTATACATAGTCAAAGTATGAAAAATAAACTTAACTCATAAAATACAAAAATTGAACTAAATCATACAGTTTCCTCACATTACGAACAACTGACGCACCTACCTATCAAAAATTGATACTACGACTCTGTAGAACTTTCACTCAATGATATGCAAGTCCATAACAGAACGGGTAAGTATTTTCTCAAAAAATCACAAAGTGTTTCTTCATAAGATAGTTCATTGACCCTCCAGATGATTATCTCTTACCCATCTAACATATAGCACGACGCTACACCATTCAAATTAGAAAAAATGTATAGAACGCCTTGGATTATACACAAACAGGTTGCAAAACTACTTCTCTTCTTTGGGCATGTGACCAGACCATTCAGCTTCGAAATAATGCCGAGTGACCCATACCTGTTTAAATATCTAAAATTGAATAACTCTTTGACTTGTCTTCAAAATATGGCAGGGGACTGAGTCATTTAGCTTAGAAACAATGTTCAGTTTTCCTAGTGTACTTTCAATAACACTATTAACTTTATTTTTTTTCTTAGTGATATGGCTTGAACTGAATCATTCTGCTAATAAAAAATGTCTTGTTGTTTGTTCGCATGTAAATATAAATAAATTATTTCCAATGTATACTCATTTGTGCTTAATGTGTGGTTTCAAGCTCAGCCATTCAATTTATAAACAATATTTAGGCATTCACAAAAATCCTCCCTCGAAATAAAACAAGAGACTGGAACATTCATCTTTGAAACAATGTCTGATTCTTGTGAAAACAGACAAGAAACACAACACTAGGTCATTCAACTTAGAAACAATGGTTAACCTTTGATCGATCTGGTCAAACGAATGCAAAACCATATTTCTCTCTCATTCCTCACATCATGCTTTAATCTGACTTAGTAAAAATAAAATAAAAACTGACATTGACGCATGCATTACTTTTAATTAATCTGATTAAGTTAATGGAAAAAACAATCATAGAGAAACGCATGCATACCTCTTAAACAAACATGAGAAATGTAGTGGTATGGATATAGTGGGTGCACACAAAGTAGAAGAAAGTTATAAATGTTACTTCTCTGCCTCCTGAAAGCTCGCTTAGATTCCGACAAAGCTCCCTCAATCGGTGGGGCGAACCTCTCACAAGAGGCATTGACATCGATTTCCGGTTGCAATCTCGTCTGCTCCTTCCTCTCGTAACCAAAGGATTAGACTGAGAATAAGAAGGACAGAAAAAAAATTGTTGAGTCTCTCAGATACAAGGGAGGTGCACTCAGACTCGAGTGAGAGAGCCTTGAAATCTTGATACGCCTTAGGGCCCCGCAATGGCGGCCGATTACGCAAATAAGACGTACTTCATATAATACAAAACCCACTAAAAAAGTTTTAAAAAATAATAAAATTGTTTAGACCCCGAACTAAAGTGAAAACAAAAAGTAAAAAGTGAAAAAATACCTGGGCGAGCACGTTTTGACACCGCCATCTTTGATGATTTTTAATTTTGATTTAGCTTAGCCAAATGAGTTGAAAATTGACAGGCATGTACCTCACGTCATAGAGAACTCACAAAAAAAATTCAGAAAACAATAATTATCTTTAGGCTCCGAAATTCGGACCCCGTACGGGACCTCGAACGCCCGTACGTACGGAGGTCTGCCCGGGGACCTCCGTACGTACGGGCTGGTGATCCTGTATATATTTATATATTTAAATTTAAGTTTTTATTTTAAATTTTGTAAAGAATTTCGATGTGATGTCGAACCAAAAGTTGCTCAATTTTTTTTTTCATAATTTTTTTTTTTTTTTTCATATTTTTTGAAAGTTATTTATTATGATTTTTTGGCTGGGACCTTCCCTAGTCTTGGCGTGGCCGATCAACCCGCGAAAGTAAGGTGACCCAGGCGACCCGACTTGTAGCCTAACTTCTTTGTTTTTTTTTTAATTATTGTTATTTATTTTTTATTACTTGTAATTCGAGTTTGGTACATCATTTTGAGATGAGTATTAGACAAACGTTGTTGGAAATATAATTTTGCATAACATACATTTTTTTCATATTTTTTTGATTTTTTTTTTTTTTTACGTATTCCCACGTACGAGAGTATGTGTCTCTTACAAGAATATGTGCACGTGCAACCCACGCATACATACATCATGCTACCTAGACCCATATGTATATACCTATGAATGCGAACAATTACACATGAGAATATACACCCAACTACGTGGGTCGGTTGATATGAATTACATTGAGGGAAATTTTAGTATACAATCCCCGTGTTTTTTTTTATCCACGATTTTACGAGTTATGTCGATATTTGCACGATGGTCAAAATTATCTATAATAGTGAATGTGTTTATGTAGGTGGACAAAAAATGTTAGAAGAAATGCATGTGAGGCTAAAAGTTTAAAACTATCTGACCATATATATCAATCATGATATAATCATTTATGTAATTATCGGTCAGACAGATAGGTTCGTGACTTAAAACATAAATTTTTTGGTGGGTCCGTCGGATAACCCCCAAATAAAAAACTTATAGTGGTTGATAGTTAATATGAGTCACAACTGAGGCAAGTGAATGTGAAACCGAATGACTGATTTCTTTACCGTTATATATTACATGAAAGTTTCATTGTGATATATTCAAAGTGATTCTGAAGAATCATCTGAAATTTGGGGGATCATATATGGTCGCCGGTGAACAAGTGTTGTAAGGCTGCTTCAATAAAGTTTTAAGCGGGCAAACGTATTACCTTTAAGGTACCGATTGTAATTTGTGTCAACCTTTTAGGTTGACACTATCTCTTAAATTGGGAAAAAAAAAATTAATAGCAACTTGATTAAAGGGGTTTATTGAACCGCCATTACCCCCGACGGCCTAAAGTAGGATTCCCGAAAAGTTAGGGTCGCAAAAAACTATAGGTTGGCAATGAGCAGGTGCAGGCGGGTTCAATCCCTGTATTTAAGCGTTAAATTTAACGATTTTTTGCACTCAAAATAATTACTAAAAAAGTATAAAAATTTACGATAATGTGGATTAGACTGGTGATTAAAAAAAAAATCAGAAAAAAAGAGTTGTTAAATAAATGTTGCGTTGATTCCTGTCATTTTTATTTTTGCCACTACGCAACCCGATGATCAACTTAAACGAAAAAAAACACTCAAACTTCCACAATCTTTTGCGTTGATAAAAACGACTCAAAACTCTGAAAACCAGATAGTTTGTGAATTTTGTCGTGGTTTCTATCAAGAATATATATATATTTTAATTAAAACAAAAAATTTAAACCGTGAAATAAACATTTCGTCGATTCATATCATTTTCTATTTTTGCGGCTCTACTATATGGTGGTCAACAAACAAAGTTCCTCAACTTCAGTTATTTCTCACGATCAGAAGAATGCGTCGAAAAATTTGAAGAGCTAAAGGGTGTGCAAATACGGACGTGATGTTTCAACGAAAAAAAATATATATATTTTTAATCTAAAGTGCAAAATAAATCGCAAAGGCAATTCACTGCATTTTCTATTCTTGCCACTCCCCTGGTTCTCCCTAATGTGCTACCAGTAACACTCTTCAATCTGTGCTACCGATCCCAGTGGGATTAGTGGTGGTTTAATATTTTGTAGAACATTTGGTTATACATAACGTGATTGGGGCGGGTGAGGGGTTTCGAGTCGTTTGCACACTCGTGAGCCAATGTGCTCGAGAACGATGTGTAAAAAATACCACATATGGATTGGTAGATGGGCAGGGATACACCCCCTAAGGATGGTGGTAACTCCTTAGGATGAGATACGTTATGCCTTGTAGGATCCAACCATGTTGTAAGGGTCGACCGAAACGACAAACTCTTTCCTAGTCGAAAACTCTTGTGTAAAGCAATATGACCCTTAAACCCGTACACAAAGCATGATGATAGTTCATTGAAGGAGTAACTTATACCCTATGGACCCTTGCCATGCCACAAAGTATTCACCCAATGGTCGCTTTTGTTCAAAGTAGTAAGGAGGGGCCTTTAATCGTTTGCCCGCTCGTGAGCCGATGCGCTCAACAACGGTATATAAAAGTTGCCACATATGGATCAATGGCTGGGTAGGGATACACCCCCTAAGAATGGTGATAACTCGTGAGGACGAGATAAATTATGTTTGGCAGTATCCTACCCTGTTACAGGGGTCGACCAGAGCGGCATGCTCAAACCTAAACGCCAACTCTTGTGTGAAGCAGTAACACCCTCAAAACCACACACGAATGAGGGCTGATGCACTTAAGATATTTTCATCCCCGTGCTGGCCTTACAACCTATTATTATGATGCACATTTCGATTGTAGACGAAGGAAAAGTAAACCACTAAGAAAAATTAAACCAGCGTGAGCATGTTTTTGGGCCGTTGGCGCCCGCACTTCATTGCTCATTTTTTGATGACGTCGCATCGGGAGATTCTCTACATATCCTTGCGTCCATTGTCTTCTTCTTCTTCCTCTTCTTCTTTTTCTTCTTTTTTCACTTCTATGTTACTTTTCTTCTTAGTGTGGTTTCTCCCAACTTGCTTATGTTGTGCGTGCCTGATGGTGGATTGGTTGCTCATGTCAGTCAGCCCTACAGTTAGGAGTAGTGGTAGGTAGGTAGTCTGAGGTGAAATTGAGAGAAGAATATAAGAAAAAAACAATGGCTGGGAAAAAAAGGTGCTGGTGAAGGTGGGTAGTGGTCTCAGTTGAAGGAAATACAGGAAGGAAAAGAACGGACCCCCTTTTTGAAAAAGCCCCTTGTCCATGGCTCCTATTTCAATTGAATGCCAGGGCCTTTTCCTTGAAACAGTTTTCCATTTGAGTTTACACCACAGGCTTTCCTTCGCTGATGAACCGGACCCCAATCGGCAAGGGGAAGTCATTAGTGGAACCTCACGGTGGTCCCAGAAGCGCAAGGAGGGACTTTTCTCTCCGCCACTCTCCACTTGCTGGCGGGTTCGAGCGGCGTCAAGTTGGCAAGGGAGGAGGGGAGGACCCGGTAGCGTGGTGCCTGCTGCGTGGGTCTACCTGTAAATATTCCTTTTCATTCTTCCCTTGCTCCTCTCTTTTCACGCGCGCAATTTTGCTGGGCAGGCTAAGGCGGCGGGAATACATCGCTAGCAGCCATGAAGTTCAATCCACGTACGTGTGTGACGTCACCCCGGCGGTTAGCCATGGACCCGATGTGATGTGAAGGGTTAATGGGAGGTTAAGATGATCCTGGCTATGGCGGCCGTATTAGGTCTTGGAGGTAGAGGGGATTGCTCGTGTTTGTGCGTGGCAATGCTATGGTTCTCTCTCGAATGGCGCGAAGTCGAAGTGAAGGGTGGTGGACAGCTATGCCGTTCTTCATCTTTGAGCGTCTGGCGGTCATTTTTGTGATAAGATCTCGGAGGGAGGGATGGAGGGAGGGACGGAAGAAGTAGGGTGCCAGAAGGAATGCTTGTAGGAGGGGGATGGGCAGGTTGTGGAGATCAGGCGGGGCACGCCTGAAGGTGGAGAGGGTGGCGGAACCTAAATCACGTCAAAGGCAAGGGATCGCCGAGAAAGGCCGTTTTGAGTGGAGCGAGTAGGGGGGGCATTGAAGGTTAAGGAAGATGAGAGGTTGCGCACAGGAAGTCGGAGCCTGAGGAAGTGGTTGACAGAGCTGTTAGGCTTCATGGGAGATTTAAAGCGCCTTACGGTCAGAGGCGATCGGGACGGAGAGGGCATTGAAGGGAGGGTGACGTCGATGTGGGTGGTAATCGATCGTTAGGAGTCGATGTTTGTTAAGCAGGCTGTGTATGGAGTGTGTAGGTGATAATGAAATGAGGGAGGGGAGGGGAGAGGATAAAAAGAGAGGGGTTGTGGAAAGTTGCGGTATGGGATTTTAGGGTTGTGAGCTTGAGGAAAATAAGCGGGCGGGGGTAATTTATGAGTTGTTGGCTGAAAAAAACAAAATTTATGGGGTGCTGTAATGGGGGATGTGTGAGAGAAACGAGAACAGGATTTGAAGTAGCTAGGGTGCTGAAGTAGGAATCGGGAGGGGTGATCGGTGCGGATTGGTGGTGTTGATAAGGGGTTTATGGGCTGATGGAAGGGATTCGGGGATTCCTAGGGAGCTGCTGAAGTGCCCATTTATTTGGGAGCATGAGAGCAAAATGTGTGTCCTTGTGTTCTCTGATAATGAGGGAGCAGTTGTATGTCTTTCACGCAGGAAGGGGCGTCGACATCTGTGTCGTTGTTCTCTTCAAGCCTTGGGGCGGTGGATGGGCAAGGAAGCAAACGAGCTGCGAGAAGGGAGGATAGCGGAGGTTTTTCCTCGTGAAGTTGGGGGGGGGGAGGATAGCGGAAGGAGTGTCGGTGGGTGGGGCTGACGACGAGACGTCGAAGCAGTGATGAACAAGGGGCATATGTGGTCGGGGGAAGTGGGGCGGCCAGGGGAGAGATGCGACCGGTGCGGTTGGGGTGGTAATCTGCGTGTGTGCGGAGTGTGTTAGACATCGTTGCGCAAATAGGGTAGGCATGGAGTGTGTAAGGTGGTAGTGGGGTGTGGTGCTAGAGCGAACCAGCAACTAAAGGGGTTGGGAAAGGTAACGCATTTGAGAGAGGGGGCTTTTGGCGAGGTGAACGTCAGTGTCAAAGCCCGGGTCAGGATGGAGCGTGTGGAGGGGGTATTTGGTGAGGCCGTGCATGGGCTTGAGAGGGGGATTTTGGTGGGGATAACGAGTGTCGGAGGAGCGGAGTTTGGCATGAAGCGTGTGGGGTGATATTCGTGTGCGCGAGAAAGGACCAGGAACACAAGGGGGTGTGGAAGGTGGGGTGCATTTTGATTTGAGAGGGGGGGGGCGGTTGGCCAGGGTAAGGATTGCCAAAATGAGCGTGAAATGGTCTTTAAGTGTTTCGTGGCAAGAAAGGAAACGGAGATAGAGCGTGGTTCGGCGAATGGACTGGCAAAGGCGGAAGGTGTGGAGAGTCGTGCTTGGAGGGTTGTAAGCAGGGAGGTGGAAAGAAAGTCCTTAACCCTAATTAGCAGGAGGGAAGAAGGAGAACAATCGCGATGGTCGATGGCACTAAGTAATGGAGGGATTTTGACTCGATGATCGGATTTCACTAATCTGTCGATGGCACTAATTACTGGAAGGATTTTGAGTGGATGATCGGATTTCAATAAATATTTGGTAACATTCTATGTTAGGAAAGTTATGAGTCTGCTTGGAATGGTCTAGAGATTTTCAATGAAAGAATGCATGTGAGGAGATTGGATGCTCGAATGGTAATAATCCGCGAACGGTAAAACCTAACTGTGCCATTTTATTGTTGTGGTTGTGTGTGTGCAGGCGTCAGCTCTTCCCGCCGGAAGGCGCGGAAGGCGTACTTCACGGCGCCTTCCAGTGTTAGGCGCATTTTCATGAGCTCGCCGCTTTCGTCGGAGTTGAGGAACAAGTACAATGTAAGTGGGTTACTCGAGAAAAACCATCGCCTGTTTGACAATTTCGCTGTTTCTATTCAGGTCTCTAGCAGAGATATTGGTTGCTATGGATGACGACATGTAATATCCGCAGAGTGGCCGATCTCCTTAGCACTGGTGATCGAATAAGAACGACTTGGGAATTTGAACTTCGACCTTCCCGATTGCAATTTCGGCGTTTTGGGGATCGAAATCGTCCTGTCCTCTTGCCTGGAGCCCAGAGTAATCCCTGACTGACGATTTCGGCTTAAAGAAGGCCGGAATTACGCCCAAGAACGGCGGAGTTAAATGTCGAAAGGATCTGGATTGGCTATCTCTTTCCTCAATGTGTTAGGCTCGTTTTCATGAGCTCGCCGCTCCCGTGGTAGCTGATGAACAAAGTCCGACGGAAGTGAGTTCCAGGAGAAAACCCACTGTTTCTTTAAGTGCCCAGACGCGAAGTTAAATGCCCAAAGGATCTGGATTGGCTATCTCTTTCCTGAGGGGTAGGTTCATTTTCACGCATTTATGGTTCTTGTGTGTGTGTGGGTTGGTCGGATGGTATTATGTGCCCAACTTTCGTTGTAAGGGCGGCTCTTTTGTTGAAGAGCAGGTAGGTATATGAGGTTGGGCACGAGTCTAGTTCGCTGTCGGCTCTTGTCTTATTAGGGTTCTTCATATTTTGTGTCGAGGTTCAGTAGAAGCTTGTCTGGAATGCTGAAATTGACAACTCTTGTGAGCGGCTGAATTGTGCAAAGCTGCAATTCGTCGCCTTCGGAAGAACGAATGTCAATGTGACTGTATTTGGAACTGTTTTCGGTCCGGATGCAGCTGCAGTGATGCTCGTTGTCGTACTCCGGTGCGGTGTCGTTAAGGAAGAGGAAGGGTTTATAATATTCAAGCCCTCGCAAGAAGTTTCTTTTGTCGTCGGGAAAAGCCCTATGTGACCCGTCTTCACCGGAATATAACGCACGTTCATTGAAGCTGTATGCGGAGCAAGTTTGAGTCTAGATGCACAGCAGTAATGACCGTACGTTGTGTCTGGGTGGAAATGGCTAGTTTCACGGCAAAGCGCCAGTACGGCAAACCCTAATTTTCCTAACGAAACTGTTTCTTGACTGCTGTGTCAAGAATGAGTCTGCCCCATCGTGGTACCTGTAATTAATGAGCATGCATGGGTCCTATTCGGGTGGGAGAGACGGTAGGCCGACGGATGCGTAACTGTGACCTGTTGTAGAGCTCCCTCTGTTCTTTCTGCACAAACTTTCTTGCTTGTGCTTGGATGTTGTGGGCCGGCTTTTGTCTCCGAGTACCGTCTTCCTCCACTGGTCCGTAAATGCGTGCGTGTGAATCTGCTTATCGCTAGTAAGAAGAGGAGATGAGCTCATCACCGCTGCAATGACTCACCTTAGCATTTGAAAGCATTTGTCAGCGTCGTGAACGTGACACGTGTTATTTTATCTTGTAACGTGTAGGGACCACTTTTAGTGTCTGAGGTCTTCCGATTTTTTCCCGCCAAATTGTCACTGTTTTCCCGCCAAATTGGCACTGTGTGTTAGGGTTTGTTTTGGGGGACCGCTATGTATCTTTTGACATCTCATTTCTCTTCCTGTCAATCCATTGCGTTTACTAATCATCTCTCATCCTATCCTCCCCTCCCTTCCGTCCCCTCTCCTCCTTCCCCTCTCCTCCTTCCCCTCTCCTCCTTCCCCTCTCCCCCTTCCCCTCTCTTTCTGCCCTTCCTTGCGTCCGCTTCCCTCCTTTCCCTTCTCCTCCTTCCCACCCCCATCCCTCTCCACCTCCCTCTCCTTCCCCTCTTTTCCCCTTTCCTCTCCTCTTCCCTCCATGCGCACTTTTTCCACCTCCTCAAGGGCTTGCTATCGATCTCTCGCCGCAGTCTGCTATAATGTGCTGTGATGGTCCGATGTTGGCTTCTGAATTGCAATTCTTTTCAGATGTATCGCCCTGTTGTTTGAATACGTCATGTAGAAGCGAGCCTCTGTTTGTTGCATGGAGGTCTATGTGGGACTGGAGCTCCCCTTCTAGACATAGAATTTTGCGGGCGCTCGCCAGACTAGAATTTCATCTTCTAGGAGATGTCTGGCGAGCGCCCGCTAGCCATCTCCTAGAATTTAATGTAGGAGAATTTCATCTCCTAGATGCAAAATGCAGAAGTCTGGCGACCGCCCGCTAGACATCTCCTAGAATTTCATCTTCTAGGAGATGAAATTCTAGCGGGCGCTCGCCAGACTGCTTATGCATTTGGGAGGTGAAATTATAGTGGGCGAGAATGGAAGACGGACGTGACGAGAACGCGGACGGAAGTAACATTGCTAACACAACGCAGGAGTGAGAGCGCCGAAACGCACAATCAGATGGGATACCCTAGCACCCTTACCCGAGTACAGTGCACCTTCACAATGAATTGCCTCGAATACAGCTATATTGTGACCGGGCGTTCTATTTGGGGGAAGACGGTAGTTCCTATTTCAGCTAGTACTGCCCGGATTTACTGTTTGTTCGTGATGTCTTTCTTGATGAGTTCTATGGTGTTTAGATGGGAGGATGTGCACGGAGTTTGGTAGTTCGTTTTCAAAGAAAGACACAGCGAATAACGGTCCAGGGTTTTCCCCTGCTTCCTATCGCTCACAATTCGTTGGATAATAGTCAGGGTTTTCCCCTGCTTGCTATCGCTCACAACTTGTTGGAATTCGTCGGCTGTGCAGGTGCGGTCTGTTCCCATCAGGAAGGATGATGAGGTCTCCGTCGTGAGGGGCACTTTCAAGGGAAGAGACGGCAAGGTTGTGCAAGTCTACAGGAAGAAGTGGGTTATTCACGTTGAGCGGATCACGCGCGAGAAGGTTAACGGTGAGCTTCACACTCCTTCCGCCACCTTTTCTCTCTCTATATTTCTCCCGTCCTCCGGTGTGGATAATCCGCGTCTTCGGATCGCGCGGGGGAAGGTTAATGGCGAGCTTCGCTCAATTGAATCGGAGTGCTGCTGGAACGTGCGATGTTTATCGTCTTCTTTCGGATACAGCGTACTGTCATTCCAGACGTATTTGGATCACCTCTGTCCAGATGCAACGAAACTGACTGTACGTTCTGTTCAGGGAAGAAGGATGACGTTTCTTTTCGGCATTCTATTGTTTTTCATTGCTTCTGCTCTCTTGGACCCTCTGCACGTTGTGAAGGTAGTGTAGTAAGCCTTGCCGGGTCTTCTTTCACGTTTGTGCGGGTGGTCCTGTGCGTGATCCGCATCATGAGTTGTGTAACCATGGATGCCGACAGTTGAGCACTCCGCTGCCCAACGGAAATGGCTGAGGACAAGGAGAGAGCATGTGTGTGTGGGTTTGTGTGTGTGTGTGTGCGTGAGAGAGAGAGAGAGAGAGAGAGAGAGACGAAGGAACGTAACGACTGGCGGATGACGCTAGGTCTTCGGACTTGCGAATCGTCGGTGTGTCCGCCTTTCACGGCTTTTCAACGGATCCTGAAATTGCGGCTTATAGAACGGGAGCTTTGATGTTACGAGAAAGTCATTTGCCACTTGAGAACGTGTGTGTGTGTGTGCGTGAGAGAGAGAGAGAGAGAGAGGAAGGAACGTAACGATTGGCGGATGACGCTAGGTCTTCGGACCTGCTTGCGAATCGTCGGTGTATCCTCCTTTCACGGCTTTTCAACGGATCCTGAAATTACGGCTTATAGAACGGGAGCTTCGATGTTATGAGAAACTCATTTGCCACTTGAGAACGTCGGTCAATCGAACGGAGGCCAAGGGTTTTATGTAGGTCGGTTGAGACATTGCCGCGGTCGAAATGTATCGCGGTACATCATAGAGATGGCTTGTGAAGCGAACTGTCACGTCGAGGAATGGGTGACGTGATTGCGCAGTGAATGGCCTGTGTAGTGAAATTTCGCGTTTAGGAACGATTGATATGATCGTGTTTGCTGGAGCTGCAGGTCGATCTGTTAGACGAGTTGTTGCACACATGGCTCACTTTTGCATTGCGGTGTTTTGTTGTCGTCTCTCTCATTGGTGCAGGTGCCACTGTCAATGTGGGTATTCATCCGTCGAAGGTTGTCATTACAAAGCTGAAACTGGACAAGGACAGGAAGGCTCTTCTGGAGAGGAAGGGCAAAGGAAGGACCAGAGACGCCAAGGGAGAGAAGGGCAAGTTTACGGAGTCGGAGGTGCAGGCCATGCAAGATGTGGACTAAGTGTTGAGTGCGAGTGGACCAAAACCCCGGATGGACGTGTAAGGAAGCGGGCGGGGGAGTGCGAGAGAGTGGGGGAAGGAACGGTGCACTTTAATGTGTCTCCCATAGAGGAGGGGAGGTGGTGGGGATCAGCTCTTGGGAGTGTCTGAAGTCGGGCATGTTTTCGATCAGGGTGGTAGACGACGTGGCAGCGGCGGGCGGGATGTTTCGTTAAGCGTTTTTGAGTCGAAGCCGAAGCCCTTTTTGAGCGGGTTTTGGCGGGGGGTTTGCGCGCATTGCTGAGAGGAGGGGGTATTTTTGTTGTCGTGCTGCAGTAATTCTTCACCAACTGGTAGATTTGCATCGGCCGCGGAGGATGAGGAGAAAGGGGTAGGAATGCGAGAATGTGATCTAGCTAGCCCCACGACGTGCAGGGAAGTTATGTAATCTTGTTTGACTCGGGAAGGCGATTAATCGGAGCTCTCATTGCGCGTGATTTTTGCACCCCTCTTGGACCCTTTCTTGATTTCCCTTTGTATAAGGCACCCTTCTTGGACCCTTGTTGATTTGAATGAATGATTGCTTGCGACCAGTACTGTACGACTTTCCAGACATCTTATCGACTTCAGTCGGGGTGTGATGCATTTATGACACTTCCTTGGTAGAACGGGATGTGCATGTGATGCGCGTGATTTCGTACGTTGTATGGTAGAGGTCTTGAGCGTGATGTGTGTCAACAAGCGAATGGATGTGAGCGTTCACGTGACTTGCAGTGGGATGGGCCGTGTATGTATATGATGGGGCCATGTGTTGATATCTGGGGCAAGGTCCCACTTGCGCAAATTAGGAGATTTTCGGCCGTTGATCTTTGCTATCTACGGTCAGTATCTCTTAATTCGTGCAAGTGGGACCTAGCCCCTGGCTGCATGTGCAATGTAAGATGACGGTCACTGTGATAATGCCGCGTGTCTTGCATGAATGAGCCACATTGATCGATTTACAAGGAACTGGATGGATCGGAGAGCTGGCTTAAAAAAAGTAGCTCGTTGTCAATCGTCCGCTTATCGACGGGGAAAGCACATATGGAAGATTTGGGGCTTCGCCGCACTAGGCGACAAACGCACAAAAATAGAATGATGGTGCTGCAATCTCTCATGTTCTAGTGGAAGTTTCGTTCTCGTGTTGTACGTCTGGCGAGCAGTGCGGCGAATGCATCTCTTCGTTCTCAGTTTGATATGGAGGACAGAAAAAATAAAAGGGAATAATTATAAATAAAGTAGGTAATAATAACAATCGAAAGGGAGAATTTGCGAAGGATCCCCGTAAATTGAGATGTATGCCAAAATACCCCTGAAAGATGTGGGTAGAGTGGAATGTCCTTTTGGGCCGAAATGTGTGTTATGCCCCCGTCGTCAGGAAGGTGTGCGAATTCGCAAAATGAGACCTCGCCGTTTGGCCCTTTTGCAACCATGCGTTGGAAAAGTTGGCGAGTTGGGGGAGTACTGAACAAAGCTGGGTAATAATACCTTGTGGAGGTATACCGCAAAGATGGGGGGGGGTCCAACCGACAGGCGGTATTTCACAATTTTATGGTAATATCCAAATTTCTGAAGTAATACCCAACTTTATGGTAGTACCCGGTTGGACCCCCCGTTTGGGCCTTTTGCAAACATGCTTTGGAAAAGTTGAGTACTTTACAAAGATGGGGGTGCCGCCGACAGGAGTGGTATTTCACAGTTTTATGTTTTTGGGAAGATGTGCAGTCCGCTCTACCCACATCTTTCTGGGGCATATTGACATATATCTCAACTCATGGGGGTATTTTGCAAAATTATCCTTGGCCTCGCCTGTCCGTGAAGCAACTGTCACGCAGCTCCTCCAGAGGAATTTAACTGTCATGTTTCTGCCCTTTGCTTCCCTTCAGTCATTTTCTTTTCTATTCGATTTCAGATGGGGTTTCTGCCTTTACTTCCCTTTATTCCACACGTTCTTGCAATCTTCACCTGACTAGATCGGCCGGCCATCATAGCTGCACATGGCCGAAATTTCAGTCTCGATACAGCGATTTATTATGACCGAGCAGAGGAAATACGCTATGTCGGGGAAATACGGTACGTGTGCATGAATTCATAAAGTCGATTTGAATTCTCATTTTGAAATGTTAGCCACTGGATTCGTTACGGTACAGGGAAAACGAGAAAAGTAATTACCTGACGTATCGTCTTTCCCCGACATATCCATGGTAATGATAAAGGCAAGGAGACTTTCCAGCCAAGTCTCATTTGATCATAACGATATCGTGGAAATGCTGCACGAACGCAAATATATAAAAACAGAAGGCCTTCGACCTTTATACTGAACCAAATCGAGCCCGGAATCCAATAAAGAATAGCCATATTCATGATGGGCAACCAACCACCCAAAAATAAAAGAGTACATAAACTACTCGTTGATATCATATTAGCACATTCCTCTGCTCGGTCATAATCAATGCATCTAGACTGAAAGTTGCGCCATATGCAGCTATGATGACCGGGCGATCTAGTCAGGTGAAGCTTGCAAGAATGTAGAATGAAGGGAAGCAAGGGTAGAAACCTGGTCTGAAGGGAAGCAGAGGGCGGAAACTTGCGCTCAAGTGCAAGAGAAAGGGAAGATCGGGACATAAAAGTGGACGTGGCGTTGGTGGAAATGACACTGTCGAATGTATGTACGCTGCCTGAGTGAGGAAAGAGAAAAGTGGATGTGAGGGTGCTTGAAATAGAACTGCCAGAGATATACAACCTGGTTGTGTCTGCGTCTCTGTGCGTGTACGTGGTTGGTGTGTGCGTTGTGTATGCATGAGAGAGAGAGAGAGAGAGAGTGCATGCATATGTGTGTGTGTGTGTGTGAGAGAGAGAGAGAGAGAGGAGAGAGATGTGTGCATGCATGTGTATGAGAGGGGGAGAGAGAGACAGAGAAGGGGTGGGGATGGGGTTGATATTTGCTGTGAAGTGTGATTCTAATTCAATGAACTTTTTGAGATTGTGAGATTCATATCGTACCATGTGGTAGCGATTAATGAAAAATGAAGGATCGAAGTATTTCACCTGAAAATCGGTCAACGCTATCATCGCTGAATGAAAAACAGTGGCAGTTGTAGACCCGAAGGATGTGAATTAGAAACTTGACCGGCGGCATATATTCAAGTGGACTTTTTTCGACTCATCTCTGAACGTGATTACAGTCAGATGCACGCTAGCGCGCGGGTACTCGCGGGGTTCAGCTCTTGATGGTGATTACAGTCAGATGCACGCTAGCTCCAGCGCGGGCATAGGAAAGTGTTCGTGTGACTATGTTCATCGGGCGTAATTGCGGGCAGATTCATTCAGGGAATTCTTAGTGCGAGTATGTGAAAGGAACAAAGACGAGTATCAAGGATATGTACAGTCCGATGCATAGTGGACGTGGTAGTTTTTTTTCCTTTGGTGCAGAACTTTGAGTGATTTTAATTATTAGGCCAGGCAAGAATCGCAAGGCTTTGGAAATTTGTCCCAGATGTAAAAGAGCCGTCGAGATGTATTACCAGATGTTGGACTCGAATGAAGAAGAGTACGTAATACCCGATCGGAGACGAGTAGCGATTTTGTGGCTACTCTCGCTGGCTGCTACTTGCAACTGCAGTTTGCCTGGTTGAACATGCTTTCTAACATTGCCACAAAATGCTTACTTGTGGTGGGACTGGGCCTTCGAATGAAAGGACTCGCTTGTATTGGGACTGGGCCTTTGAAAGAAAGGGCTCGGTTGTGGTGGGGAGTGCCCAACGTCGAGGATATTATACCATTCAATGGCCGGGTCAAATCTGAGAGAAAATATAATATATGCATGAGGAGTGACTGGTTGAAATTTAAGACGAAATAGAATACATACGATGCACTGGTAGAAATTGATGGGGATGAGGAGAAGACAGCAAGGAGGAGATTATACCATCCAATGACCGGGTCAAATCAAGGAGAATATACATACAGCAGCTTCTGGATGACGAGAAGATAGCAAGGAGGATGGGGATGTGTATTGTGCAGACTGCGAGGGCTGTAATCTATGTGCGGTTATGTGGCATGCGTTGTTCTTGTTGATATCAATGACGTTGACAAGACACGACTTCAAGACCACATGCAATGAATGCACTGGTAGAAATTAATGCAGAAGGGTACATTACAACGGGGTAGAGGCAGTGGGGAGATGAAGCAGAAGGGTAAAGCGGTTGAGGCGGAGAAGAGAGAAGAAGAAGATGACTGAAGGTGAAAGAGGCCGGCCATGGGCATATGATCCTGACAGGATGCCAGGAGAAGAGACAATGATACATCCGAGGTAATACCCCCGAAGGCGAGTATGTGGAGTTTCGAATCAAAAGAAGAATTACCTTGGGTGTGTGCGGATGAAACCATGGTCTGCGGACGGCGTATGACCGGCATGTGGGCGGAATGTATGTGGTTGTTTTCAATGACAAAGAGTGGAGTGCCATAAATAGATCGTCGGAGATCTATCCCGGGGACGCAGAGGTTACGTTCTTGGGGGTTGGAGGGGGAAAATAGTTAATTCCCCCAAAATCCAGTTTTGGAGTTGTGGTGACAGCCATGGTAGCAAAGAAAAGAAGAAACTAAAATTTGTGCCGCAGCCGTTATAGGTCAGTGGGCTGCCTGACAAAGATATGCTTGCTTGCATGGAAACGAAAAAAGTAAAGAGAGCTGTGACAGTTGAATCGATGAACCGTTTGTTTTAACCGGTTGTATCTTGTTCCGTATATAAATTATTTCGTGTTATGGATGGGGTATGGACAAGTTTCTCGTATTATCCAATCGATCAATCATTGATTCGCGCACGACCCCATGCATTTGCCTTACGGAAGTGGTCACTTCAGCAAAAAGTGACACCAAACGTGCACACAGCACATAGCAAAACGAGGAGGAGCTCTTTGCTTTGCTCCTGCGGGAGGATATACGGGACTGCTGCCTCCTTGGACGGTGGGTTTCCAGGGTGCTCGTTCAGCCTCCCACGGTACTGGTACCTTCTCTTCCTTTGGGCGAGGAATATCATTCCAGTCTCTGATGTCCTCCGGTGAAGGGCACTACCGAAAAATCTTGCGTAGCCTCTAAAGCTATCAACTATTGGTCGCATAGCAAGTGTTTTCCATCCTATGCGAGCCTTGCCTACCCTGTACTTGAGTGTTTTCCATCCACGTGGGCCTACTACCGTAGCATGCTGCTATGTCCCCACCACAACCTGCAAGAGTGCGAGTAGGGGAAGTACCAGGCTGGAAGGCCTCTCAAGGATACAAGTCTCCTGGCGGGTCGCACACACACCCAAGCAATCGTACAATCAGACGAACACACAGAAACTCAGCACGCTGCACAGGCATAGTAAAAGAGGAGCTCTTGTCCCAAAGAAACCCCCCTCAGGCTAGCTAAACAGAGTTCTATATGGTTTCTATTATGATTCATGTTGCTTGCTAAAGAGGTGATACTCTTTAATTGCTGTATGTTTTGACTCCCTGCCTTATGTTTTTTGAACTGGAACAGGATTTGTATACATATATTCCCCATTTGAACCGGAAGAGTGTCCATATGCATTCCTGATCTGATCGGGAACAGGGTTGGTATGCATTCCTTATATTTTGAACCTGCCAAAAAGGTTTATATGCATTCCTAATTTGGAACGGAAGGGGGTTCTTATGCATTCCTAATACGGACTGGAACAGCGTTTATACGCACTCCCCTTGTTCTTTGTCCTCCGTTGTGCATTCCTACTTTGGACAGGAGCAAGGCTTGGATGCATTCCTGATGATGGGACACCCTTCTCTCCCCCTGCATTCCACTGCCAGTGCAGTACAACACAATTGGTTTACTTGAATATCCGTGCAAGGCCCTTTTTCCTCCCCTGTTCCC